AAAATCTGTCATTTCTTGTATTAGTATTTAACTATGTTGTGACATTGTGTGTGAACTTGTAATTTTATTTTGTTGTTAGACTTTGACTATGTAAGAATTTAAAATTTCCTAATTAGTAGTTAAAATTTTATCTAGCAAGTTATTGTCATTTAAATCTTATGACGTTTCAAAAAAAAAATTTGGGCCGTCACACAGTCCTTACAGAAAATTAATTGCCAACCAATTATCAGACGATTGTGTTTTAGTTCTTTCAGCCTCAATGAAGAGGACTTTTACTGATGGCTTGATTTAGGAGAATTAAATAAGATAACAATTAAATGAAGAACAATTTTGAAGCATTTCAAAATGAAAAACTTACAATGATCCAAACTCAGCCTCGTAGAGGTTTACAACAACAATCTACTACTTGAAACTACTCCTATGAACGAAGTGTAGTGCAGGAATTTAAAGTACAGGAATGTAAAGAACAGGAAATGTAAGACTGGAAATGTAAAATTGAAAAGGGAAATAAGTAGAATAAGACTGATTTTTTAGATTTGAGTCTGGGGGTCTTTTTGTGGGCCTTCTCTGCTATTTATACTTCCCAAGGATGACCATCGAACTGCATTGCTAATCGTCGAACTACTCCTCCATGATCGCTGATCATGTTGCCTTATAATTGGCTTCACTATGCTATCACTTGCAGTTAGGCTTCCCTCTTAAATTTGAATTTAAATGTGAGTAACCGTTGAAGCCACATCACCTTGCATCTCTTTGTTGATCCACTACTACTCAGATCTCGTAATAACCAATACTAACTGCCACGTTTACGATCAGGATCGAAGACTTGAATAGTCTTCCTGTATTACCCTTATTCTGCCACGCGTCGAATTGTAATTGCCTTGTACAAAATATGTAGCCAACTAAATTATTACAAAGGATATCATTAATTTTGGAACATCCCATCTCACAATTAAATCTACACACCGACTACATCATGAATTAGGATTTATGATAATACCCACCTCCATCACCACCCATCTATCTTTCCCAAATCTCACCTTTAAAACCTACCCATCCTCAAAACCTTGAAAACCCTTTAGCAGCAATACGTCGGCAATAACGGTAGCAATCATTTGATTACCTACACTTCTTCGGCAATGACAATGACTGGAAGTTTTTCTGGCAACTAACACTCCATAGGACGAGAGAAGTATAACAATAAAGGTTTAGAAAACGTTCATAATTTTGATGTTGTTCTTAATTTAGAGGAGATTGGTTTTGTAAGGGTAAATTTCTTGAAAAAAAGGACAAAAATAATAAAACATGTTCGTCATTTTTTCGAGATTGAACTCTCGAACATATGATCAAAATTCGGGAACACAGGTCCGAACATTGTTTATTTTTTCAGAAACAAGTAATCGAACATTATTCATATGTTCGGTGCTGTTTTACCGATCATGTTTTGAAATTTAATTTGCATTGTTATTTATTTCAAGATAATGGCGAGTCAACAGTTAAAATTCTTAACATTTGCAGAAATTTTATTTTTTCAAGTTAGGGAATATAGGCCCAAACATTAGTTATTTGTTCGGGAACACATTCCCAAACATAGCTTATTTGTTCAAGAATGCAAGTCTGAACATGAAGGAAACTCGCCATTTTTCGGTACACAACAATTCTGTTTTGTTTGTGGCTCTCCTTCAATTCTCACCACACACACACATACCCACACCGTTACAGTCCCAAGATAGAGATAGAGACAAGAAAGGGAGGATATGTTATAGTAGAAACGAGAGCATATCAAAAGGCTATACCATGTTAAACAAGAGCAATTGATCAACAAGTCAGCATATCAGATGGCCCAAACGAGATTAAAAAAACAAAAAAAAAAGAAGATTTTACATTGTTACACATCAGACTTACATTTCACATTGTTACATTTTATTCGTGATATTAGTCTTGATAAGATAAGTTATTATGCGTTACTCATCCGTTTGTCATTAGAAACATCACTTCTCGACAAATCTATCTCATACATCATAAACTTGTATCAAAGGTATATACTTTTATGTCATACAATTGTATTTAAATAAAAACGTTCATTTAATTTTTATTTATTTATTAGTGAGATGTTTAGGATGTTGTAAACGTTAACATGAGATTTTAGTATCTCAAGTTGGTATCAGAACTCCCAATGACTTCTGTTAGGATGAATTCACGAGCAAAGGTTGATATGTTTTACCATTTGTTAAGGTTGTCCAACATTGAAATCACTATTGAATTTGCTCCAAGATCTCTTAATTGCTATGTTTAGTAATTGACTAAAATAATTAAAAAAATTCAAAAAGTACTATAAAAAGTTGACATTCTCTCTAATTTTTTACACATTTTTTTAAAAATAAAAAGCTAAAAATATACTAAAAAAATCAATTTTTAAACGAACTCTTAGATTATTTTTTTTAAAAAAAAATTATTTGTTTTGGGCTGAAGGAGAAAGCAATGAAGTGAGGGACTGAGAAAAGAGAGAGACCAATTGGACAGGACCAAATATTTTGCTGGGTAGTTGGGTTAGATCTAAGTTGTATAGTGGGCCATGAGTTAATTGGGGTCTATTTCTGTAGAAGTGTATGTTGAAAAGGGAAAACTTTCTCTACCTTGAATGAAAACTAAATTTCTTTATTTGGGCCTGAGTAGATTGCAAGGTCCCTGGAGAGGCCCATAAAGAGGACACATGGGCTTTTGCTTCTGTTATCTTGGTTCCATCTACAGTAATGCTACATAAATAAAAGGAACTTACATGTAAGTTCTAACAAGTATACTTATTATTTAGGGGTGGTTTGAGATGATCTAAATAAGTGTACTTTTTGAATTTTTATGAAATATAGGTTGGGTATGAGTTGGATTTGAAGTGATGTGTTAGAGAGGTGATGCGACTTAAATAAGATGATGTGACTTAAATAGAATAGTGACTCTTTGACTTTTTTAGATCATGCCAAACAAGGCCTTAATAGGTCTTGGGAAAATTAATGACATTTTTTTTTATCAAATATTAATAAAAAACGACATTGATTGTTAATTATCAGTAATAGTTTGAAAATTTTATCACAAAAAAGTCATTAATTATAAGTTTTAGCGACAATTTGAAAAAATTGTCACAAAAAAATCACTAATTTTTAACTCTCGGCGATAGTTTGAAAAATTCGTCACAGAAAACTGTCACTAATTGTAAATTTTAGCGACAATTTATAAAAATCGTGATAAAAAAGTCACTTATTATCAATTTTTAATGACATACAAAAAAATCATCATAAAAAATTATTTTTAGTTATAATTTTACTAGAACTTATTTTCAATAAAACTTGATAGGAATTAAGTCTAACTATCAGGACTTATTAATAATTTACCCTAAATAAAAATCAAACAAAAAAAAAATTTGTCTAGAACTTAATTTGTGGTTAAAATTTATTGCAAGTATAGTGAAACTTACTTTTAAAAATAAATTTGAATCACAACCATTTTTTACGTTCGGTTATTAGGCGAGTAGTATTACTGGTCTATCATATTCTATTCTTATATGAAGAGATACTTTAAAGATCGACTTACAAACCTTTCATGTCTTGCAAATTTGTTGGTCATGACAATAGTTTGCTGAGATGATTTCTTTCTTATTACTAAATTATGGAAAGTATAGACAAAGAGAATAGAAAACATATGTGATATGAAAGCCTAGTCTACTAAGTATTTTCTGTTCTTTTTCTTAATGTTTGTTTAATTATTGAATTATATGAAAATTTTGAGACACGTGAATCCCAAGACATGATTTAATAATTTGGAATATATTAGAACAAATGAATGTATGAATTTCAGGACATAAAATCCCATACTACCTAAACTCAATTTTAGCGATATTTAACAAGTGCATTTCAACCTCACAACATATTAATTAAGTTAAATCTAAACCTTCAATTATACAGAGGATAAGACTTCCATTCCCATCTCATGGCAAAGCTGATGATATGATGAATCATTTTTTTTAAAAAAAAAAAAAATTCTAAAAACTTCGTCAGTCCTAGGCCACCTAAAATCATACTCAATTAAACAAAATTGTTTCATTCATATTTCAATGATAAAATTCAAACTTTCTTAGCTTGTCATTAGGTCTAAAATTAGTATATTGGCAATCCAAGCTCTCATGTAGGAGTAGTTAATGCCTACCTATTTATTTATTTATATTCCAACTCTTACAAATTGGCTCCATCATTGAATGAATTTCACACCAAAACAATTGGGAAAAAAAAAACTAAGAAATGATTCAAATGAACAAGAAGAGAGAGGTAACATAGAATATACCTATAACTGTGGACTTGAATTTTCTTAAAATACTCTTACAATCTTATGAAGGATAAGGTTGTTCTTGACCCTTAAATTGGTGGGCAACAGAGTTCCAACTGATATGATCACCAAGTCAAATGACAGTCCCACATTATTGAATACTAAGATTCAAGGTAAGTATAACCCAACTGAGATTTATGACAAGTATTAACCATAGCATATGCATATGTTCCTCCCTAGCTAGCTAGCTTCTAAATAAACAACCTTTTATACTGCTACTGTATTACTAACTTCTTAATGTTTTATGGCAAAATAGGTTGGTCTTTTGGGGCATAAATGGTTAACCACCTCAACTGAAAAATGACCTTGAGTTCTTCATCATGACCTGAAAAATGTCCTTAGTTTTATTTTGGTTATTGTTTTACAGTCCAAAGTAAAAATGGTAATATAACTTTGATTAACCAATTTTCACCCCATTTCTTTTTTTATTTAACGAGGAAATTTTCTAAGGTAGTGTCACGTTGAGCCTACCCTACAGAGTAATTTCCGAATACACACAATCACCCGTCAACTAGTGTTTCATATAGTAGCACTCTAAAGAATATATTCTCTGCAAGCATATAATGTGACTTCCTTAGGCAGAGGATTTTTGCAACAAATCACAACTTTATTGAATTGCTATCAGTATTTAGTGCATATTAAAATGCTCTACTATCATTTGGGGAGTTATTACAAGGAAGATATGGATGCTTTACCAAAATAGGTTTTAAAAAAAGAAAGAAACAATAGATTTTGCATAACAAAATTCATGAAGGATCTTGCAGAGGATTTGAAAGGGAGGGATAACATTATGCCACAAAGGATATATATATAGTTATAGTTCTGATAGATCTTAGTCCAAGGAGTAGCAAATTTGTTTGAAGGAAGCCAAGTTGTCATGGAATAGAGGTATGAAGGCATCTATGCTTCCATCACCAATGAAGGACGGTACGAGAAACATCATTCCCTCTGTTGGGAAGTAAGATGGCATGAAAATACAAGGGCATCCTCCTCCAAAATCTAGGTCATAGAAGGGAAACCGTAGCCAGCTATCAACCTCCAAGTTCGGACACAAAGCAGACTTGTTCATGTCTGCAGTGGGAATGAGGTTTTCTGTTTCCACCTTATATTTTGCAAAGTCAATAAATGATTTGAAGTAGTTGTTGTTCACCTTTGTGATTGCATCATCAATGATCTTGGCTGCGTAGGGCAATGGCTCTCGTAGAAGGTCCTTCACCTTTGCACTTGGGAAAGCCCAAAGCACCAAATTCCCAAAGTACTCATTGGGTACTCTAGGGTTCAATCGCATGCGGCCATTAACTGAGATTCTCACTTGGGTGGTCTCAAAGCTGTTGAGTGAACGAGCTTTGGTTATGGCTCTCCATAGATGAGCAACTAAGCTCTCAAATGTGCTATAAGGCTTGTTGCCACCATTCATGGAGGAAGCCTTGGCCTTAAGCTTGCCAAGAAACTCCAATGTAAAATGAACTTTGTGCACCACAATATCGTTGATATCATCAACAATAGGATATTCTTTCTTGAGTGTCTCACTCATAAACTCAACACCCTCGTGCTCAAACTCAAAAATAGGAGGGTCTCGAGGGAGGAAAATGGCACGATCATGCAAGGGAATTGGACTAATCGCAAGTCCACGACAAGCTTGGCCCCACGCAACCAAGAAATTGCTTGTGGAATGGCCATCGGCCACAAGGTGATGAGCTGTGAAACCGACCACCATTGAGCCACAAGTGAACCTAGTGAGCTGAACTTGCACCAACTCTGCTACACCCTTCAAACTAGGGTGAAGACTAAGTAAAGACGCTGAAGGCTTAAATGGCATAGCTTGATCAAGAGTGCTATCAACCGATGCCTCAACAAACCTCACGCCTTCATCGTTGAGAAAAATGACATGATCGCCTTTGTCATTCTTTCCCAGCCTTCCAGCCCACTCTCTGAATACCGATAGTGCCTTTTGAAGCCCTAACTCCAAGGCTACATTTGGTGGGGTTGGCGGACAATAGGCATAGATAACTGCCATATGGGTATTGTAGGTGACCTTGTCGAAGACACTTAAGGGGACATAGGTTGTGTTTGGGGGTGGTGTGACTTCATAAGTTGGCTTAACAATCCTTGAGCTCTCTTTTCTCACCTTCATGGTTATTGATGTCACTTTAGCAAGGCTAAAGAAGGTTTGTTTTGAGTTTTCATGAAGGCAATGCATGGCTAGGGCTTATATACTAAAATCTAGCATTATCAACTAACTGTAGGTAGGTTGGCATAGACCTTTTTGTATCATATAGAAAATTATTTAAGGGACCGTTTGGACCCCAAAAAAAAACCATTAGCCATGTCAATCCCTTATCTTGTCTAGCTACTAGGCCATGTTTTTCAAGTCAATTGAGGGGAAAAAAAAATGACATGCATCATACTGTCCTTGGTTGAATCTTAAATTTAGTACATTTTTGCAGCATCACTTAATTTTTTTGATAAGCGAAAAAAAGGATGAAACCAAACATACACGTACATGCAGAGAACATCAATAAAGAAGAGGATAGTGGAAACAGCATCACTGTATGAATTCCCAATCCCAACACAATTCTCAATAGTTGGTGAGAAACCAACAGAGAAAAGAAAACAAACAACCAACAATCCAAAGCAACACAAAGCAATTAACTAATATTAGAAAAAAAAACCATCTGCTGCAAACACCACCTACTCCCTTATACACACAGTACCTCTTAACTTCACCTTTACATAAAGCAGCCTTTAACAGAGATAAAGCCTCTTGTACCAAACAAACAAGCTAACAAGCAGCAATCATCCATCCAAAAATACCAATCTCGTCATAGCACAGACCAACTTCCTAGATCAGCAGTCATTCACAAAACAGAGCCCCAGATCATCAACCTGAAACTACCTACCCAAACTTCCCACAGATCTGATTTTTGATTAATTTTATAGCAAGTCATGTACTGGAATAAGGCACCTCAACTCTGCTGTATTTGATCTATAAAAGCCACTCTAACTTTAATCAACTCCCTAATGTTCTATTTGGTTCACTGGAATGAGTTGGAATGGAATGAAATGATCGTTTCTTAGGTTCTCATATGAAATAATCATTTCCTTAAAATAGTGAATGATGATTCTATTTGTAATACATTTTGTCATTATTTTTTTAATCAACCAAACATGGAAATGAATATTTTGATGTAATGAACAAATATTCATACCTATTTTATTTCATTCCAGTGAACCAAACACTACCTATTTTGATTGAAATCTGTTTGGCAACCATTGAAAAAGCAGTTATTGCTTAACTTCCACACACTCCACGTCAAGGCAAAAGGAATAGAATTCCACATTCTCAGTTCTTCCACGGATTACCCATTGGATTTCCCACCAATTGGAACACTAACAAAAATTCTAAGATCTAAGGCGATAAAATTAAGTGGTTCAATGTTAGGCGACCTCTGAGTAGTGCTATAAACATTAATCATTGTAACATTTGTAGTGCTATAAACATAATTTATGTGCAAAAAATTCATACAAATTAATGTGGTTATTTGTGATTCTATCATTTTTAATCATGGTAATATTTGTAATCCTTTCATTTTGAGTCAAAACATTAATTATTGTACCTTGTAATTATAAAAATACAATTGTCTTGAGTCAAAACATTAATTATTGTACCTTGTAATTATAAAAATACAATTGTCTTCTCATTCTAAATAAGTTTTATATATTAAAATTATATTTTATTTAAATATTGTTGGGAATAAATCTCACCTAAGTAATGGAAGCAAATAAAATAAAAATAGAATGCACAAGAAAAATAGAGAATACAAGGTTGTGTTTGGTAGAATTTTGTAAATATGATTTGAGAATAGAATTGTATTTTGAGTTTGTGAGTTTTGGAATTATGATTTGAGTGTAGAAAATTTGTTTGGTGAAAGAGTTTTGAAAAGAGTTTTGAATTGAGTGGGAAATTATTAATATAACATATGATATTTGATACAAAAACTTACAACTCATAACCAAACACACAACTCAAAATTCCATTAGAACTCATAAATTTTTTTAAAAAATTCAGAAAATATTTTTTATTCAATATATAAAAATTAACATGAGTCAAATGCAAAAAAAAAAAAAAAAAATTGCACTGTTCCGGTTAACCGGTGGGACGACCGGTTAGTCCAAATTTTCTCACCTTCACCGCGTTTTCAAAAGTATGTGTGGAATTAATTTTTGAAAATCGAAAACAAACGCCATATTTAAATGGAGCTCTAACATTCCAGAGCTCCACCAAACAGAGAATGCCTATATCTACAATGAGTGAGAAGCAATCCACTAATAATAGAACAATTACAATGGTGAAAAAAATACGACTCCTTAATATATTGTTCTCAACCTCACACCCTCACAAAAATAATACACACATATATCAATCACCAAACCCTCACTGTTTGTGACTTCTCACTGTACATATATATCACCCATTGTGTATCCAACCCACTCTTACTCATTTAACGCAACACATCTCAAATATATAGATACATATCACTACAAGAAATTACATTTTTCGCAACGCAACAAAATATGTTGCTAAAAGAAAAAATTCGTCGGCAAAAAGTTTCGCCGACACATAGAGCTACGTCGGCAACCTGTAGGTAAAAGTGAGTCGGCAACACTTTTTGCCGATGAAATTGTCATTGCGTTGGTAAAAGTAATGCCTTTAGCGACAAACATAGTCATTAGTAAAAGCCTTCATCTATTGTCGGCAATTTACCTTGCATCGGTAAAAATAGTTCAAATATGGTGATTGTGTGACACTTTTCTCGACACAAATTTACGTTGACAAAAAATATACTTTTAGCAACACAATATGAGTCGACAAAAGTAAACTTTTGACAACACATTTATGTCGGTAAATGTTGCCATTTGCTGACGATTTGTTTGTTGAGAAAACTTTGCTTTTGGCGAGGACAAATTTGCATTGGCAAAAAATACACTTCTAACAACACAATATGAGTTGGCAAAAGTAAACTTTTGACAACACATTTACCGACAAGTTGTTTGTCGAGAAAGCTTTGCTTTTTGGGAACAATAAATTTGCATCGGTAAAAATAATTGAAAATGATTTATATTTTTTATAAGATTCACAAGAGGCATCCCTCAGGCATAATAGTTTATAAGATACATTTTGGAATAACATAAAGCCAACCTCCGCTTTTAGAATTGGCAAACTTTATAACTCATCAGTTGATGAATATGTGTGTGTTTGCACCAGTTGAATTTAAGACTCATCTAACAACATACAATAGATGAAGCTGCTCAAGTTTTCCATTTGTCTAAATATTCTCATCAAGGAGCTCATTAAGAGAAATTGCAAAAGGAGTTCTATTATTAGGTGATGCTCCGAGACACAGCCATTTTTGATGTTGTTGGATCTTGCTTTCAGTACAACCCAAATTTAGTCTGGTAAAATTTGCCATAAGATCTCCAAGCGTTCTCATCTCCTCGATGGATGCCAAGCTAGCCACTGCTATTATCTTCAACTTCGGAGTTGTACTAGTAAGTTGATCAACCCGTGCAGAATTACACTATTTAATAAACTCTCCGTTCCCAAGCAAAATAAATAAATAAATAAACTCTGTTGGAACAATCTAACTACCAATTTTGGTCTTTGTGTGCTTTCATCAGTCCAGTGATTTCAAGAGTAATGTAATGTAGCTCAAGGTTTTAAAAGGGGCAAGGCAAGTTCAAGATTTGTCGAAATATGAAACCTTTTTAGGTCTCATCAATCCAGTAAATACAGTCCTAATTGATGTGCCTAATTGATGTATAATATTCAAATATACGACATAAAATAAATATATAAAATTATGCATGCATTTTTTGAAAATTGCATGTCCGTGCTTCTTAGCCTAAAAACCATTTTCTTGAAAATCCTAGAATAAAATTTAAGGAATGTCTAGCTACATTTTAACACCCTGAGACATAAGAATAGTTTCCTATTAATCTTATTCTCACATTAAGAAAGATATATCAAGCAAGCAAGCAAGCCTACCAAATAATCTTTCCTTAGACACTGCTCCACTTGGTTTCTGATATTTGTTATGCTTTCAGTATGACTCTACCTGACACACTTAAGCTGATTCAAGCACAAGATAGACATGGAGTTTATCTCCTCCTTAGTTTCCTGGTCCAGCATCAGTGAATTTGCAAGTTCATAATATTTCCCACTTGAGTTCATTGTTTGATAAATAGAGAAAAAAAAATTAAAATTTCATATATAGGGATTTAATTACCCTTAACAGCTTGCCTGTGTGTCACAGGCTTTAGCTTCGTATTCTGCATTAATGGATGAGGATCTAGAGACAAATTCTTCATATGCACCATGGTTTGCACAAATTTTTTCCCTGTTTAGGGAGAGAAAGAACATGATAAGAAAACCAAAAACATTTTCAAAAACAAATAAATAAAAGGTTACTAGAAAATCTAAAAAATGAGGGAAAGGAAGACTTACTTTACAGTAGATTCTATCTCTGCAATACTGGTCTAGTTGAGATGGTTGATGGATAACTCTGCCTTTTCCCACTGCTACCTAGAGTAATTGACCATATTTGTGCTGCAAATTCAAAGGAAGACAAAATTACTTGGCAGAGCTACTAAATGCACTCAAATGTAATGAACAACTTGCAACTTTAGTCCAAAGCTATGCAATACTCAGGGTGCTAGAACTACTTTTCTTTTTCTTTAAAAAAAAAAAATATCTATCCATCTGTAATGTAATTTGACTTGTTTTCAAATGCTTTAATTAGTTGTGCATTCTATCAGACGTTTAAATCTTGTATAGAGCCACGAATCAGGATATTCAAGTGTAACAAAAATAAAACATATATTCAAATTACAATAGATATGGTTTGATTTTTCCTACGAGGCAAACTTCATGGGACAAAGTTTGGATCTAGGATTCGGGGTGGGATTTGTGGAGAGGAAAGGAAAGGGAAATGTGATAAAAATCTAGCTTCTATTTCATTCATTTTTCCCATCTTTTTTTTTTCTTCTCTCTCACTCTCTTCAAATTCCTCTTCAAAGCCTTGATCCAAACACAACCTTATGTAATTTAGCGAAGTCTGCTTCTCTCTACAAAATTACAGAAAAACACACAAGATTTGTTCACATCCTTAATTAGTTTCCTTGGACAGCTAGATGACTATACACTTATGCTTTGTTTTTCAATACCTAGATTAAAGTGATAGAGCTTCAGTTCCTTTGATCATGTCAAGTTTATATAATAATAGTCGCTATATCCTAGCATATTTAAATTAACTTGTGTAGTAAACCAAATTTTGAAATAAATAAATAAAATCTATCAGAAGTTTAAATCTTGTATAGAGCCACGTATTAGGAATTCAATAATAATTGCTCAAGTTTTTCTGCCATATCAAACCAGATAGTCTCAGTAAAGCAAAGCACTACCTTTGAGGACATCTGGCATTTGTTTCACAGGAGACAGGGCATCATCCCTATACATTGTGTCATCCATAATAGAGACGGGACTAGGATGCTCAGGGGCAACTGACCCGAATTCCGGCAACACTCCATCTTCATTCAACCTTGCAGCTAATTTCTGAAATAAAATCACTTAAAATAGGTCACTCAATTATTCAAAAGCCGTATCAAATACTCGATTGGCAACCAAGGTCAAATACCTTGTAATCTAGAGAATTTTTGCAGCTTGCATATACAGATTTACCAAAACAACATTTTAGTATTAGTCTTGTGGAGCCACAGTTGACTGGAAAAAGCAATACTGGAAGATAAACACTAAAGTATTTTTAATTTGTAACATATATAAAATTAAGTTCAAAAGAATTATTCAATGAATTTATTATCATTCTAAGTTGGAATAGAAACAGAAACAAAAATAAAAGGCACTTCCCAAACCAAAAAATTTGATGTTCTGATAGATGCTAGCAATTAGATTCCAGAATAGAAAAACAAATGGGTGCACCTCTAACAGCTTTGATGTTACGTGCTTTCGGGTTTTGGCAAAATGGTCCTACTCCTCTCGCAATTGGACTCCAATCGACTAGAGAGAAGTCAAGTGTTTGGCAAAACGGTCTGGCTCCTCTCTAACTTAGACTATAATCACATCATGGGAGAGAAGCTGAGTGCTTGCAATTACAGTATATTTGAGTGTACACTAAAAATATAAAACACCTCACAACAATGCCAAGCATCATGAAAGATTTTCAATTATATGATTGTTATTGTCAGAGTATCATTTTTTTTTATTACCATAAATGCTTTAATATCTTTTTATTTTTGGAGGGCTTTGATTGTTTTCAACATTGCTTTTTACTTGAAATAACAAGTATTTCCCAGAAAATAAAAAAATAATTGATAGACATTCTATTAATGCACTCCAAACTTAAATAGGTTCTTTTCCCACCTAGTCTCAGCAACCAAACAAAGCAATAATGAAATTGATTTCTTCTCTAGATTTAGATTTCACAGTAACCTATTACCAAACATAGTTCAAGACCTAGCAACAAGAGCCCCTTGGTATCCCCCATTCAGCTACCTTGGTATCCTCTAGTTAAGTAATCAAATTAAAGAAAATCAAATAATTGAACCAATAAAGATTTAATCTTTCTTTTTCTTGGAGAAAGAAGATTCAAACATTATAATACTTCAAAATAATGCAAAACCCTTTTTCTATATTTAATTTCATGCACCCTATTTACCGAAAAAAAAGGCCCCCAAATCCTCTCCTCATCTTCTCTTATTTTTTCTAGACCCAAATATTATATAGGTACTTAGATAGGATACTTTGAATGTACTCAAATCTGAATTTAAAAATGATGGAGCTAGTGACAAAAAGATTGTCCACCTTTGTTAATATAGTACATTAAGTTGCAATTTTAACTCGAGCTGTTTTATTTTGTCTTTCAGATTTGCAGTCTATGCCAGAAACTGAGTACTTGGCATCCTTCATGGATGGACTCTGGCTTCCATTGGTCTCAGCACAGCATTCCAAACTGGTGACTTATGTGTCTATCCTTGAGTCTAAGACAATGTTTTCATTTGATCGCATAGAAATATCACCTTCTAGGTAACTCGAATTCCTTGTTTCATAGCTGATCTCACTGGATTGGTCGTCGATTTGCTACAAGTTTGTAGATTTTGGTCTACGTTTCTTACCTGGGAAACTCAACTCTGGTTGTTGCTTGTTGGGTTGCCTTTTTGAATTGCTGGAATCAGGAGGGGTGGACAAGCGAGATTGCTTCTCTAGCTCAAGATTTTTCTGTTGCAATCTCGAGCTCACAGATCCTGAGCTCTTGACTGAGCTTACTGCAATCTCAGGCTCACAGATCCTATTCCAGTATTTGAGTGGCCTGAGAGAAAACGATGTATGATTAACAAAATTAACTCACAAGTTTAACATATGAAAGAGACATCAGCATTCATTTCATACATCATATTTACTAGCAAGAAATGAAGAGACGTGTTCCTCCATGCATTTCAATTGTTGATGCTGTTGAGAAACTGACCCCAGGATGGTCTTGTGCAGGTCTTTTAAGCTCTGATCAAGCTGTGAACCAAAATTCAAAAGCAGCCCTTGGTTTTCTGCTTCTAATTTATTTTTCTGATCTGTAGAGCTTTTAATTTTAGTGAGTGCCTGAAAGCAATGCAACTAAAGCACAAGAAATAAGCACATTAACACATTTAAGAACATACAAGTTCGAAAATTTTGTGCTTAGAAGTTAGGCTAGAAATTGAACTATGAAATTTGATTAGAACATCCTAGGATAGGGTCTTTGTTCATCAATGTCATGACCTTGTGATCTCCAAAACAACAAAACAATGTTATAATATTCTAATTTCATCTCAAGCTATTTCTTGTTAACCATGGCTTTATTACCCCTCAAAGACTGGCATGTCAAAAAACAAAAAACAGAATATGTAATTTTTCCTTGTTTTTCAATCGGCTCACTTTCCTATGAAATTTGATTTGCCTATTTTTGTTAAATAAAAATTGATGAAAAATTGGTATTTTAATCATCAAACTCAACAAAAAAATGATATTTTAGATATTTTATGTACACCTACATTGAGTTTAATGACTAAAATAGGTGGATGATTTAGACTGAACATAAATTAAAATATTATGGTTTAAATTGATAAAATTAAAAATTCAATGTTTATTTTGATTTTGTCACCAAAGTGCGCTTACGCCCCTCAAGTAGGGTTAGATGATCAGACTAAGAGGGATTTTTGAGAGCAAATGGATGAGATCTTATAGGAGATACCCGTAGGAGAGAACCTGGTTATAGGTGGAGATTTTAATGGCCGTGTGAGCATAGATAAACTAGGTTTTGAAAGGGTGCATGGTGAATACGGCTTTGGTGACAGAAATGAGGTTGGAGAGAGAATCTTAGATTTTGCGTTGACTTCTGACCTGGTGGTGGCCAATACTATGTATAAGAAGAGGGAGGAGCATTTGATAACCTTTAAGAGTGGATTAGTTAAGAGCCAAATAGATTATTTCTTAGTGAGAAAAGTGGACTGCCTAAAATGCAATGATTGTAAGGTGATTCTTGGAGAGAGTCTGGTCTCTCAACATAGGATTTTGGTACTAGATTTATGTTTTAGAGGGCAATACCAAGCCAGGAAGGATGGTGGGCGTCGTAGGACGAGATAATGGGACCTAAAAGGGGATAAACTAGAAATATTTAAGAATCGAATGGATAAGGAAGGTACTTGGAACTTAGAAGGTGATGCTAACACTATGTGGAATTCGATGGCCAATTGTATGAGGGGAATCTCAAGGGAAGTGCTTGGAGAGTCGAAAGGAACGGGACCCAGCTCTAGGGAAACTTGGTGGTGGAGGGAAGAGGTTTAAGCGATAATTAAGACAAAAAAAGAGTGCTTTAAAAAGTGGCAGAAGGATAGAACTGAGGAAAACCTTAAGAGCTATGGATTGGCTAATAAGGAGGTCAAGAAAGTAGTGAGAGAGACTAAGTTGAAAGCTTATGATGACCTATACACTAGACTAGATAGTAAGGAAGGAGAGAAGAGGGTATATAAACTTGCTAAGATACGGGAGAGGAAAACAAGAGATTTTAATCAAGTAAAGTGCATCAAGAGTGAGGATTCTAAGGTATTGGTGAAGGATGATGAGATTAAGGAAAGATGAAAGAATTATTTTGAGAAGCTGTTAAATGAGGAACATGGAAGTATGACAATAGGGGAAGAAATAGCCAGTAATACGATAAATCAAGACTATAGGTTCTATCGCAGGATTAGGAACTTTGAAGTGGAGATTGCACTTAAGAAGATGAAATCAAATCAGGCTTTAGGACCTGATGATATCCCTATTGAAGCTTGGAAGTGTTTGGGTAAAAAGGGAGTTGCTTGGTTGACTAGGTTGTTTAGTAAAATTTTGTTGACTAGGAACATGCCAGATGAGTGGAGGAAGAGTATTTTAGTGCCAATCTATAAGAATAAAGGTGATGTCCAGAATTGTAACAACTATAGAGGAATCAAGGGTAGGTCAGCAATGGAAGCGATCTATCTTTTGAGGAGAGTAATAGAAAAGTATAAAGAAAAGAAAAGAGACATTCATATGGTGTTTATCGACCTTGAGAAAGCATATGACAGAGTGCCCCGAGATATAATATGGTGGGTGTTAGAGAAGAAAGGGGTGACAAAAGGCTACATTGACGTGATTAGGGACATGTATGAAGGGGTGGTGGCCACTATTAGATCGCTAGCTGGAGAGACAAATGAATTTCCTATCACTATAGGGTTACACCAAGGATCTACCTTAAGTCCTTATCTTTTTGCTTTAATTATGGATGAGTTGACGATAAATATTCAGGATGACATGCCATGGTGTATGCTTTTTGCAGCCGATATTGTGTTAGTGGATGAGACTAGAGAAAGAGTTAACACAAAGTTGGAGATTTGGAGAAGAGCTTTTGAATCTAAAAGATTTCGGATAAGCAGAACTAAGACAGAGTACATGGAGTGTAAATTTAGTAACAGTAACAATGAAAGCAGAGGAGAAGTGAAGATTGAGAACCAAGAACTGCCTAAGAGTGAACATTTTCGTTATTTAGGGTCGATTATCACAACAGCGGGAGAGATTGATGCAGATGTGGCCCATAGGATTAAGGCGGGATGGTATAAGTGGAGAAGTGCGTCTGGGGTATTGTGCGATAAACGAATACCCACTAGACTAAAACGTAAGTTTTATAGAACGACTATTAGACCAGCTATGTTGTATGGGACGCAGTGTTGGGCAACCAAGAAACAACATGTAGATAAGATGAGTGTGGCTGATCCAGTGTCCTCTACACCGTTATGACACCACCATACAGTGTCCTCTACAACGTTATGACACCGCAAGAAAGAGAAAGAAAACAAAAATGGAAATGATTGGGGAGACCTTGCAATATCTAGGAGCCATGTTTGAGGACATTGTGTGTCTTGTTTGTTCTTCTATAACTTGTTTGAGATGGTTTGGTCATATTCAACGGAGACCAACAGAGGCAGTAGTGAAGAGATGCGATGCTGTAACGGTAGATGGAAGTGTTAGGGGACGGGGTAGGCCTAGATTAACGTTGACTAGCGTTATAAATAGAGATATGAATCTACTTAATTTGACTAATGAAATGGCCTTTGATAGGGCCGCGGGAAGAAGAAGGATTCATGTAGCCGACCCCATTTGATGGGACTTAAAGCTTGGTTTGGTTCGGTTTGGTTTGGTTTTGTCACCAAAGTCAAACCTTCAGTTTTTTTTCTTTTTTTTCAATTTTTTTTTTGAATTTTGCCAAAAAACAAATGAATTCCATAAATTGGGCAGAATAAGAACCAGATAA